ATATCAGACAATTCAAATAATTTGAAAAAGCTGATAACATTAGACTAGATAGAACAATCACCTAGCTTTATAGCCTATTCCAATCAACTTCCATGAAGAAAGGTCATTTAGAAAGCAAGTATCATTAAAAGGAAAGAGATATAGACATAGAGCCTAAAATATCCGACAGGAAGAAGATTAAAAAAATACCCCCCTTTTTATGAAGAAGAGTGACAAAGAGGGAGGCCATGGCTAAAAATGGGAGCATGTCATTTTCTCATCTATTAAGTTAAAAGGGAGAGGATGGAGAGAGAGTAGAGACTGAGATGTCATTTTTTACTTTATATAATTTCCTAGGACCCGAAAGGAGAGAGACCAAAGAGTAGAGAGAGAGATGTCTTTTTCACTTTATGTATAACTTGACCCTTTCCTCTCCTGTTTACCAAAAAAAGGTCTCACATGAACAGGAAATGCTGCTCTCCTTTTTCTCGTCTCTTCATTCACCAAAAAATGTTTAATGATGTTCCTCTCTTCTTGACACGTATAAAAAGGTGGTACTAAAGCATGTTGTTCCCTTTCCTCCCTTGTCTCTTAATTTACCAGGAAAAAAAAATCTCTTTCCTCTTTTGTTCACCATCAAATAGCTCCTGAAGTATGAATAATAGAAACAGATAAAAGCAAGGGAAAATGTACAAGAAAACAATTGCCAAAAATAGTTTTATTGAAGAGGAATCCGTCTAATTTGTTATTTAGACATACAATGTTTACTTGACCCAGATCCTTCACCTAACAGAAGATTTATCTGTCAATACCAGAATTTTGTTGAATTCTAGATTCCATAATCAAATTTTGATTCTGATCTTGAAACCTATTTGCCTCATAAGCACCATGAGCAAAACTACAAAGCAGCAACCTACAATGTCAACTTAAAAGCTAGAAATGCCAATCATGTCTCCATCCATACGAGCATCATCTAGATGACATTAAGTAGATCCATCTGTTAGACAAACCAAGATGCATTTGCTTGTGTATGAAAGAGAGCACCATAAACCTTCTCACACTTGAGGGGAACCGTCTTTAGATGCATGGTGATTCAAAACTTCTATTATGTTGCATATACAAAAGATTAGACCAAATTGAGAAGCGTGGAGATGATCTTACTTGCATAAGATGAAGTGTATAATTACCAAATTACAAGACAAACAGTACCCCATGAAAAGAGCCAAATTAACCTGGCTAACAAGTTCACTGTTTTCAGCTAAACAAAGTTATTCATTATAAATAAATGAAGGCATAAAAAGCAGAAAAGTTTCCCATATGAAAGAATTTCCAAACCAACATTTTTACATATGAATTATCAAAGCCACTGTTCCTAGACTCGGCATCACCCTATTGCTGAGGAGTACATGGTGGAACTGACCTTATGCCTATGGAATGAACAAGACTCAGGACGATTTTTGCAAGACTCAGCCCAGATTTGCACAACTCACCTGAGTATGACTTTTTTGGTGATAAACTCGGGCAAATCATATAGAGAAAGTTTTTTGATGTGAAAAATCAAACTTTTAAACCGATTTGGATGGATAAATCGGGAAACCTTTTGTGTTTTAACAACAATATAATCAGTATGATACAATTTGGGTTCATAAAAACCCAATCGAACAAGATTTGCTTCTGGGCTAGATGCACAATGTGCTTTGGACGACTGCACCACTAGTGCTAGTAATGAGGTTGGTTGATTTCGATCAGAGGCCAGCCATGGGATTACTCTACGAGGCACTAGACCAAGCAAAACAGGCTATCATGGACAATTGTATATTTTATGACAAGGTTTGGGAGATTATTGACTTTAGGTGGGCCAAGCAGTTACATTGCCATACACATGCGGCAAGTAACTCTAAATTTAAAATTATATTTCATAATTTACTATTAATTTCTTATTCTTATTGGGATATCTATGTTTATGTTTATATCTATAATGTATTCGGGCTTCTTCTTTAACTCGGATTATCAATATAGACAGGGTCAAAGCAATCACCCAAAAAGCATGCAAGGTGTGAGGTACATTATTGACAGATTGGAGCCTGATGACGACCAATCAGGCCTTTGCCGTGAGCTTCGTAGGCTACTAGGCACCCAAAAGAAGCCAAAGAATGTGCCATTGAGATCTGGTAAGCCCTCTATTAGAACTATTTTGTCATAGATGATAGATCATAATGTGGTATTAGGAAGGTAAAAGTTATCTTACAATGTGGGTGTCGAGGATAGTTGTGTTAAAGGAGAAGCAAGACTCACTAGAGTTGGGATCAAGTGTAACTGTTGTACTGAAGTCTATAGTATTGCTGATTTTGACGCCCATGTCAAGACCCCATTTACAAAAATTTTTGTGGAGGATGGGAAATCAATTTATGATTGCCAAAGGAAAGTTCTGGATCAGAGTGTGTTGAAATATTTAAAGCTGAAATATTGTGAGTGAAAGAAAGCAGATTATAACCAGTGTGAAAGTGATGAAATATGCTCAATCTGCCACAGTGGAGGAGATCTTGTGCTAAGTGACGACTGCTACTCTGCATATCATTTGGACTGCCTCCACCTAAATGTATGTCTTCCCTTTCTCTTTTCTTTAAGTATATTGCCGAATTTACCTTGTACAATGATTGTATTAATTAGTTTCTTAGAAATTTGATCATCAATCTTGTTTCATGTACTATTTTGTTAAATACTGGTATGTTATATTAGGAAAATGGTATCCTATTTGTCCTATATGAACAATGCTTGGTTAAAGAGTTGTGTGTTATCTTCATTAGCTCTTCGATCAGATATGTTCATGCATAGTTTAATCGATGGAGTGGATAACAATGACAAATGCTTAATTTGCGGACACTCACTCCAGTTAGCAGTGAAATATATTTGTTTGCTTCCAATAAGCAATGATCTCTCAGTGTCTTTTGGTAGAATAATTTTGCGAAATTTTCTCTCATTGACTTAAAAAATACCAATTGTTGTTTTGATCACAGTATTTGGACATGTTTGATTGATTGATTGTACACAACGGACCCCAAAAACCTTGATGAGATGATCCCACTTTTCTTGATTCTGTTTTATCAAGTTTCATCTTGCGGGAAAGTTGTTTCTGACAAACTTTGTATTGACAAATTCCAAAATTCATGGCAACGGAATTAGCAAAATAAGATATATTAACTTGCTTATTATCAATGAAATAAGTTGATTTACGCATCTTTCTCTGTCCTTTCATTGAATAGCTATCATGTCAAATCTCCTCACTATAAATTTAAGGTTATCAATTGTTGTCTTGCTCACAGCATTTGGAAATGTTTAAGTGATTGTACACAAAAGTTAAAGAGATGATATCGCTTTCTTGGACCTGTTTTGTCATGTATAAATAGCAGGGTATGTAATTTTCAAAAAAAAAAAAATAGCGGGGTATGTCAGTTTTCAACATAGCTTTGTATGCATATGGAAATCATTGAATTATATTTCCCAGCTAGTATGCTATTTTCTTACATCTATTTATCCTCATATTTTCTGTGCATTTATGAAATGCTCTAAGGAAGGTGGCCACATTGCATAGTTTGTGCCATTTAGTTTACTTCTTGTAGCTAAGATATCAGTTTGTCACATCCCTATGTTTCTTAAAACAGTAGGTTGGCTAGTAAGTCCAAGTAATTTGCACTAAAGAAATAGATAATTTTCAGGGTTGCTCTTTGGACCTGCAACAATGATCAGGTTGTTGCTGTCATCCATCCTAGAAAATCTTAGGGACATGAATACTTTGTAAACTATACTTAGATCCATATGACAAGATCAGTGTTGTTGTAAGAATCATCACTCTCCGTCCAATGGCTTGGATGGCGATGGAATGAGTGTGGGACCTGCTAAACACGATTGGATAGTGATGACCCTGAGGAATTAATATTTTATGTGATCATATGGCTCATAATAAATTTCCCCATAATTTTGAGCTAAATGCAATGCTGGTAGTGGCTCTTTCATGAGGTCAGAAGTTTAAAGTTCATGTCATTGTGAACAAAGATCATGACTGTTTTGGGCATAAGGGGACAAGGTCATGAGAAGTTATTCCATACACATATGTTACATGGCTTCATGGTAAACCATAAGGTCCTCCACCATCTGTTCCTCATATGGATAGTGGGCAATTTTAGCCCTAGGTGTAAAACTAGAGCACTTAATCTTCACCATTCCTTAAAAGGATGTATGGTAAATGTCCCCTAGGTGTGCACATACATACATGACTGGTGATTGATGCACTCTCCCATATGAAATGTCTTCTTTTATGACTCTTATTTTGTAGATTTCTATAAACAGGGCATATGACATGATAAGTGTCCTTTTTACTACCAAATCTGTACTCTTGATAGGTAATTTATTTCATCTTTAATACAGGAGGAAATACCAATGGTGGACACCACTAATCCAATAAAAACACTCACCAAAAACTGCCAAAGTAATACAGAGAAAGAAACCACCTTCATGGACTTCTGTAATAAGCATCATCACTTGTTAGCAGCTCCAAGCTTCTATAAAAGGAAAATGCAGTGAAAAATTAGAGCAAAAAGAACAGTTAGATGCTCTGTTTTCTTTGTACAGGAAGGGAGAACACCAGGGCCATCCACTTCTTCAAATCTTCACTTTCTACCTCTAATATTTCTTACTCTTCTGGTTTCTTATTAGAGATTCACGGACAGAGGGTTTTCTTTTTGCTTAGGTTGAGGGATCAATATTTTCCTTGGACAGGGGATAGAAATTTATTATGAAGTATCCAATGTCCTTAAAAATATGGAATATCTTTTCCCTTGTAAAACTTTTTAAAGTGCATTGGGTGTTTGCAATATTTGACTGTAAGTAGTGGCATTTATGTTCGAATTTCTTTTGTCAATAGCCTATTGAATAGAATAATAGTAGAAGGAACTTTCTATGCTAGTCATACAAGTTTCTAAGTTGCACTTGTTGCTTTTGGGTTGCCTGTCAATCATTTCTACTAATCTGATATGTGGCTTTTCTGTAGGATTTGCCTGAAGGAGATTGGTTCTGCCCATCGTGTTGCCGTGCCATATGTGGCAGAGGTGAAAGATAGTGATCAGTTCATCGCCAAGACATCAATGATGATAGTGAGCAGTTCACCGCGAAGACATTTCTTTGTTGCAAGCAATACGAGCATAATTGTGCATTTTCTCTCTATATTGAAACACATTTCTTTAGTCTTTTGCTTTTCAGCTAAATGCTTAAAGTGGTATTTTATCTCTTTATTTTCAGATCATGTGGGTTGCTGCAATGAAAGAGGGCCCTTGATGCTGAAAGGCTATCTAGAAGGGAGGTTTTGTAGTAAGAAGTTCTCAGATGTATGATATTCTTTTTCTAGTCTCTTACTTGATTTGTTTTCATGGTTAAAGTAATTTTTAGTTGCATGGGATAGACTTATCTAAAGTTATCTTGCTGTGACATTATTTTATTTAGAAAATATTTTGGCTCTTGGTTGTCTAACATTATCCTTTTGATGGTCTTGTTACATAAAGTCATAAACGTGTATATGCCTAAAAGTCATTTTGTGATCGCGTTCAGATGCTTAAAAATGTTAAAATTAGCATGACTGCTTACCAATCTAGCATAGCAACGATTGTCTTTCATAAAGTGAAATCTAGGTTTATTCCCTTGTTCATCTTCATCCAACTCCGTGAAGAATCAACTATCAAAAATGAAAGTGTAACACCAGTGGTCGAAGACAGGTTTAACACCATAATATCCAAGGAAACAAGAGAACATGTGCACATTTGACACCAACTCTTGTGGTCTTGTCGGCATTGTCGAACACGAACGACTTAGACAATCTCCTTGATTCGCTAATTGAACTTCAATCGATCTCACTATCATCAAGAAACTATCATTTTATTAAGTCCCGGATGTGCCCCACTACCAATCAAGAATATTCGATAAACTGTTCTTTAAGCTATAGTCCCCAAGACTCATCCGGCCCTCATGCTCCCTCCCGATTGGATTATCATCGCACCCTCCCTCACCAGCGGCGCCTTGCCCCTCAGTACCTTGAGTATGTTGTTTGCCATGACGCTGGCATAAACGCTTGCTGCGGCTCTCACCAGATGGGCTACGATCCCCACAGCTACATCTCTCTATCGTGTATGGATGTCGCCCACCTCTTTTTCCTACACGTCTTTCCCCAAGGCTTCCACATCATCATCTAAATCTTGAACTTGTTCTTCTAAATACTCCATGTTCACCGTCGGTGGCTGCCCCTCCCATTGCTTCCCCTCTACCACCCATTCCTCTGTAAGATCCTCTTAAAAAATGTAGTCCAAGTTAATTGGGTCGTAACATGAGGGTTCCCTCTTTAGCATCCTCTGCATTAGGTTGTGATTATAGGGCACATAAAGCAGCTGACACAGCCTCTCTATCTTCAACTTGTTCCTCCTTAGGGTATGAATCCACTGTAACATGCTCAAGGTTCTCTCACATCTAGAGGAGGAATAGGTTTGTCTTAGGACCTTAACTGCAATCTTCTTTAAATGTGGAGTTTAGAGTCCATATAAATCCAACTATGCAGCTGTCACGAAATAAGATAGAATATTAATCATTTGATAACTAAAACAAGAAATGCAATTGTACAGACTTAGTTATATTAGAAAATAGTAATTCATGACGTTTGTTGGCTAACCTGGATCTAATGCACTTCTCGTCATTATAGCCATGGTAGTATCAAATTCCCCTCGAGTCAAAAAGTAGACTGCCCAGTGCCTAGGCGGCCAATCTGGGCGGTCGATCCCTAGGAGGAAAATTTGGTCATTTTTTTTTTTTTTGTAGGAGCAATTTTGGTCATTTTTTTTGTTTTTAAGGGCCAATAATTAGGTTTTAGATTCATTTGAACCCTAAAACTTGTTGGAGCTAATTTTAGAGAGAGAAAGCCCTTAAAAATCTAGTTTTTGGTGAATTTTTTAGGATCGAAGGGTTTCTCAAAGTTGACAAAAATTGATCAAAACATCACCCATTGATATTAGATTTACTTTTTGATGTTTTGCAAAGTTATTAGGGGGTTTTTTAGAAGGTTTTGAGTATTTAGAAGCATCTTTGAGGTGAAGTTTGAAGATTGAGCAATCAAACTCAAAGTGATTTTTTTATTGCTTTAGTAATTTGCATTATTTTTTAGATGTCTTCTTCAGGATCTAATAGGAGTGGTGATCCCGGTTGGAAATATGGCTATAACCCAGATCCTAATGATAAAAATTGCATAAGATGCAAGTTTGTGAAAAGGATACAAAAAGGGGCATAAACCGTTTCAAGAAACATCTTGCCGGTATCAGAGGGGAGGTTGCCCCATGTAAAAAGACTTCTGATGTTGTTAAAGAGGAAATAAACAATTTTTTGAACATGGTGAAAATGAAAAAAGATGAGAGATTTGCCTCTATAGCAGAGATTAGGTCTGGAGTTCAGGTCAATTTTGATGATGAAGATAGTGACGAGAAAATGGAGGGATGTCAAGAGGTTGAGCAATCCATTATTAAGGGAGAGGGGAGGGGAGTTGTAATTGTTTTTGGTTCTGAGACTAAGAAGCCTTGGTTTAAAGGCCCTATGGATAGTTTTTTACCTCGGCCTGACCCTGAGGTTGCAGGAGAGAAAACAAAAAAGAAAACCACCATTGAAAATAGAATCAAGAAGGAAGAGAGAGATAATGCTGCGTATTATCTTGATACATGGTTTTATGAGGCGAGCATTCCTTTCAATACCGCTCGCTTAAGCAGTTTCTATGCTGCGATAGAGGCCGTTAGCCAATTTGGCCCTGGGATGAAACCTCCAACCCCATATGAGCTTTCAGAGCCTTTTTTAAAAAAGGCAGTGAGTGTCATGAAGGAAGTTGTAGAACTTAAGAATGGTGCATGGGCTCAGTATGGGGTTTCTATTATGACCAATGCTTGGAGTGATAGGAAGAAAAGAAGTCAGATGAATTTGCTTGTGAATTGTCCTGCAGGGACTGTGTTTTTGAGGTCTATTAATGCCTCTGATCATATCCATGATGCCCATTACATATTTCAAGG